AGTGTTCTCGAAGTGACTAATGTGAGTTTGACCAAACTGCGGGAGGCAGTGGAAGACAGGAGTGCCTGGTGTGCTCTGGTCCATGGGGTCACGTAGAGTCGGACACGACTAAACAACAACATTTTTAGCGATCAGGGAGTGTGTGAATTTTATGAAATATAGAAACTACACACACTTAAAAATAATAATAATAGCCATCCCGGTTCTGTAACCAGGCTGCTCCAGTGCCTTGGGACTGTGAGTTGTGCCTCACTGGGTGAATTTTGAGCAGGCAAGGAGATCAAGCAAACCCAGGGCCAGAGAGGGATTCCTGGCGCTTAATGCACAGAGAGGAGGACACATGACCTCCCTTCCCCTTCCCTCGCGAAAGTCTGAAATGATGAAATTATATGCCTTAACCTCAGCGCCAGGCCAAGAGGCAAGAGATTCACAGCACCAAGAGCTGGAAGGAAACGGATCCAACAATATTCTCCACTCAGATAGTTAATATCTTATCTTCCCTGCTTGTTACAGACCAGAATCCGATGTAACTGTCACAGGGAGAGCACAATTTATTCTGCCTTTCCTTCGGAGCGTGTGTTATCGCCCCATGCTGATAGTTGACAGGCAATAGGAAATGGGCTTTCTCTCTCCCCCATCCTTCTGCTTTGTGCAGCGAGATGGAAGTTGGGTAGCTGTGGCTCAAGGTCTAGATGTGAAGGTTGTTGTCAGATGGGGAATGGGGCCTGGGCTCCGCAGGGGTGAAAGGAGGCTTTGAGGGAACAATCCCTTCTTCTCTGCTCTCCTTAGGTGCTCTCAGACATTATCAACTGGGAAGTATTAAGCCTTGATTAACATCGGTCCAGAAGAGCAGTTTTGAAAATCGCCCCCACCCCCCGGCGATAACAGCTAACCTTGGAACTTAAAAAATAAATTTAAAAATCTGTAAAATGCTAAAGAAGCTCAAGGCTGGTCCAAAATATTATTTAGTTGTTGCTTTTCCATCCCACAGAGCTCAAGGTGGCAGGCAGAATTCTCCCTGTTCCTCACAACAACCTTGCAAGTTAGGTTGGGCTGAGAGGCAGTGACTGGTCACCCTCTTTTGGTGATCCATTTTCAGGTGGCAAAACTAAGAGGGGGGAGCATTGGAGTGATTTGGGGAAGCAGGGGGGGAAATGGGGGCGACCATTCTACCAAAGATCTTCAGAAGGTAAACATTGTGCCCTCCCCTTTATCACAACAACCCTGTGGTCAGGTGCAGAGAGGCTTGCTGGCGCAACAGGGTAATAGTAATAATAATAATAATAATAATAATAATAATAATAATAATAAATTATTTCTACCCCACCCATCTGGCTGGGTTTCCCCAGCCACTCTGGGCGGCTTCCAACAAAATATTAAAACACAATAGTCTGTTAAACATTAAAGGTTTTCTTAAACAGGGCTGCCTTCAGATGTCTTCTAAAAGTCGTTTAGGGTGTGTCGTTTTAGCAGGCGAAACTGAATTTTCGCAAACTGCTTTGTGATTGGTCAGCATTTATCTTGGTAAGTCTATGTTTGTACATAAACTGCTTTTGGAAAACCAAATAATTTTAATTTTACCTTCTGAAAATGTCAGGTAATAATAATAATAATAATAATAATAATAATATCACCCCAAGTAACTTGCAAACATTTCCCACGATTTCCGTGCCATTTTACACTTTATTCACCAAGCATTCACACTTTATTCACCAAGCAAAGCTAAATTATATTAATTTAACCAAAATTAAATCTTTTGAATTCCCATGTTGTTTTACAACTTTTCAGCACCCCTCCTTTCAACAATCAACCCTCCATCCCAGGGAACTCTGGGAAATGTGGCTCTGTGAGGGGAATAGAGGCCTCTGCACAACCTTAACCAGCTACACTTCCCAGAATTCTTTGGGGCAAGCGGTGGCTGCTTAATGCGGTATCATAGCACGTTAACTGTCTGCTTCGAATGTGGCCTCTGTCTGGTTCCTTTGTACAAAAAGGGCAATGAACCCTGGGATTTTCTTAATCGTATTTAGCTAATTTCTAATACAATAAGGAGGGGAGTAACGGAGAAGCCAGAAATCTCCCTGACCTCTTCCCTTCAGGATCATCTCCTCTCCAGCTCCCTTTCCATCGTCCTCCTGCCTTGCGCTGCTTTCTGCCAATCACCGCCCGGGTTCTCCGTCTTGCCGCTGCCTCTATTCCCTGGGCCGCCTCCCTCCATACGCGCTGACCCACTTTAACTGTCAGATTTACAGCCGAGCAGTTCACTGGCGGGGAGAAGATGGATTCGCAGAATAAATTTTACAGAGCAAGGGGAGCCAGCCATAGAGGAATGAGCTGAAACGGTGCGCACTTGTGTCTGAGAGAGAGAGGTACATATGCACACACACACAGAGAGAGAAGGAGGATGACATCAGAAGAGAACAAGGAAGCAATAGAGGCTGTGAAACGAAGAGGACATGCAGCTGTCGAGATGCACGGGTAATGGGCAAAAGAGAGAAGGAAAGCGGAGTTGGACAGCATCACTCAAGAGGCCAGAAAGAAGGAAGGCAGGGAAATCTTATCTGCACAGCAATGCCTGCAGCTTCATGGGAGACATGCAATTGATGGAGGAATGGGTTTTCTCTTTTGGCGGAAACAGGAAGATACAGTGGTACCTCAGGTTAAGTACTTAATTCGTTCCGGAGGTCCGTACTTAACCTGAAACTGTTCTTAACCTGAAGCATCACTTTAGCTAATGGGGCCTCCCGCCGCCACCTCACAATTTCTGTTCTCATCCTGAAGCAAAGTTCTTAACCTGAAGCACTATTTCTGGGTTAGTGGAGTCTGTAACCTGAAGCATATGTAACCTGAAACGTATGTAACCCGAGGTACCACTGTAGAAAGTTGGCCCATCTAGCTTAGCAGTGCCAACACTGACTGGCAGCAGCTCTCCAGGGTTTCAGACAGAGGTCTCTCCCAGCCCTAGCACAGAAAAGCCACTGGGGCTGGACCAGGGCCCTTCTGTCCGCAAAGCAAATCCTCCGCCACAAGGGATATCGGAAGGCATCCATTTCCATTCCAAACCACGTTCATCGCATGGAGCGCTGTTTCCATTCTGCTGCAGTTTGGCTTATGACAAAGACCTTATTCGTCCCTCCGTCCACTGTGGCAGAATATTATGCAATCGCTTATGCAATTAATGACACGCTTGCCGGTACATTATTCAATGCAGTTCATTTTGATGCAAAGGAAACAGAATGGGGAAATAAAACCATAATCAATTACGTGTCGTTTGCGGACAGAAAGCAACGGTGAAGAATGATCATAGCATCTGGATTGATTTCCGTTCCAGACATGGGGCAAAGAAGCGAACACGTACAATGTCCACTCCCATTTCTGTTGGAATTCTCCAGTATACCTATCTGCTGCTCACTCCCCTCGTGGGTCTTTTGAGCTCTTCAGAGTACGGATATAGCTCCTGGAAAGTTTGAGAGGCAGTATGGTATAATGGTCAGAGCATCAGACCAGGACCTGGGAGACCAGGGTTCAAATTCCCACTCTGCCATGGAGCTCACTGGGTAACCATTCACTGTCTCTCGACCTGGCCTACCTCACAGGGTTGTTGTGAGGGTAACATGAGGAGCAGGAGAACTATTACGCTACCTTGAGCTCCTGGGAGGAATGGCGGAAGGTAAATACAGTCGTACCTTGGCTCCTGAACGCCGCAAACCTGGAAGTGATTGGTCTGGTTTGCGAATGTTCTTTTGGAACCCGAATGTCCGATGGGGCTTCCTCGGCTTCTGATTGGCTGCAGGAGCTTCCTGCTTCCTGCAGCCAATCAGAAGCCATGATTTGGTTTTTGAACATTTTGGAAATGGGACGGAATTCCAGAATGGATTCCATTTGACTTTCAAGGTCTGATTGTAAATAAATTGAAATGAGGTGAAATATTCAAGCAGATCTACTGTGCATAATTCACACAGGTTGCAGGATTGAGATTCTCTTGGACCAAATTCTGGGTTGTATTGGCAAAGCATTTCACTTTCCCTTTTATTGTGGAGTACCTAATCGCTCATCCAAAGTGGGTGTGGGTGGGTGTGGCTGTTAGGTTGCACAAAAAAGGCTTTTCATCTCACGTTCACATATCAATTGGTCATTGCTCAACCCATGGATCCAAGGTCAAGCTGACGGGGCGAGAGGTCTCTAAGCCAGGGGTCAGCAAACTTACTGTGCCTCGGACCGGTGTCTCCAGTGCCGATTGCGCGGGGGAGTGTGTGCGCACACGCTACTTCCAACGCACTTCTGGGTCAAAGGAGCACCGGAAATAACTTGTGCACATGTGCACGGGGCTCCTCCGACCCAGATGTGCACCGGAAATAATGCTTGCGCATGCGCACAATGCTTGCACATGTGCAGAAGCAATTTCCAGTGCTCCTCCGACCTGGAAGTAGGCAGCCGTGCAGCGCAGCGCCGGTAAGAGCGGGTGGCGGCAGCGGGCGGCAGGGGTTGCCGCGGGCCGGATAAACGCGTCCCTCATGCCTTATCCGGCCCGCGGGTCTTAGTTTGAGGACCCCTGCTCTAAGCCTTGGGAAGAGGCCAGCCATCCAAGCCTCTCTCCCTGCCCTCTTCATTTCCCTTGGCAAAAAGCATCTGCCCACTGTTTTGCTACCAACTTCGCCAAAGTTTGCTCCTGTGGTCCAGTCCCTGTAAACAACAACAACAACGTCTCCTGGCCCCAGAAGGACTCTCTTCTCCAAGGGATGGAAGCTGTAAGATGTGCCTGAGGAACTTATATTAGCTCAAGGGCTGGCTGCAATCTCCCATGGGCAACCTTGGTGTGTATGTGTTTGTGTACCTGCCTGTTTGCTTGCCTGCCTGTGGTGGGTGGGGCCAGAGGCAAAAATGGGTGGGGCAACGAATATGACCCCCAGCCTGTATACATAGATATCATAGAATTGTAGCGTTGGAAGGGACCCTCAGGATCATCAAGTCCAACCCCCTGAAATGCAGGAATATGCAGCTGACCCATATGGGGGATCGAACTTTCAACCTTGGCGTTATCAGCATCACGCTCTACCCAACTGAGCTATCCAGGCAGAGGGCTAAATTCCAGTCACACAAAAGTCAAGAGATTTCTACATGCACACAGCACAGTCTCCAACCTCCATCCAGGCCAGAAAGAAGCATGATCACAGTTCACACAGACATATTTAAGCCCTGAGGCATGTTCAGAAGGAGGGGGGAGGCGTGGCCTGGGGAGACGTCTGGAGAGGGCCAGTGGGAGAGATCTGGAGGGCTGCATTCAGCCTGCAAGCTGAAGTCTCCTCATCCCTGCATAGTAGTGTAAGACAAGTCCAGAGTAGTCATATGCCAGGAATACTTGTGCTCTTCACCCTTGGGTCCCCAGTTGTTCTTGGACTACAATGCCCATCATCCACAGCCAGATGAGCCAAATGTCAGGGATGATGGGTTTTGTAGTCCTACAACATAAGGGGACCCAGTAGCACTGATTTAAGGGATTCTGCCACCCTAGGTCAATGGGAAATCTAGTGCACCATCCAAATAATAATAATAATAATAATAATAATTTTATTACAGCTCTCACAGTGGCTAACCAGATACCTGTGAGAAACCCTTAAACAGGATCTGAGCACAAGAGCAACTCTCCCTTCCTGTGGTTTCCAGCAACTGATATTCAGAAGCATTGCTGGCCCTGAATATGGAGCCATTGATAGCTTCTCTTCCATGAGAATGAAATGCTGTTTCCTAAACATTGGTTTAGATGCTTAGTGCCTGAATGGTGTTCCAGGGAAGGCGCACGCTGGGGAGAGAATCATAGGATTTTAAAGTTGGAATCATCTAGTCCAACCCCCAGCAATGCAGGGGTCTTTTTGCTCCAGGTGGGAGCAACTCATGACCCGAAGATTAAGAGTCTTGTGCTCAACTGACTGAGCCATCCCAGAGGCAGAAAATGCCAGGCGTTCAACCCCAGCTCTCCAACACGAGTTGCATGGGATGAACTGGGGGGGGGGAATCTATCCCGATGACGGATGCCTGGCCTCCCTCGCAGGGCGGTTGTTGTGAGGCCAGGCTCTTTGGAAGAGGAGAAGAACTACGAGTGCAATAAACCCACTTCATCCACAAGCCGCTTTGCAAGTCTGGTCACATCAGCTTCGGCATGCAAATGGGGAATCGCGCTGGCTGAGCCACAGTCAAAAACAAACCGAGGTTCTCAAAGGTGCCAAATATGAAAGAGATGAATGAGATGAGAGGATTTGAGAATGCAAATGCTCGCAGAGTGAAAACACCCCATTAGGATCTATGAACAGAGAGCAGAGGAGACTTTGCCAGTGATCTAATTTGCACAGCAAGTGTAGAGCAACACTATATTTAAATCTTAAAGATGAGCAGAGGGTGGTTTTTCCCCCACCCCCACTCCCTTTAATTAAATGGATGTGAATTTAAATGGGTTTTGTTTGTAAGCGGCTAGGATGCAGGTCTCAGCTGCTGGGTCAACCCCTGAGCTAAGGGGTGCAATTGCACCACAAGCTCCACAACCGTCTTGGGGGGGGGGAACGGCAGCTTGGGGCCCCGTCTGCTGCTGCTTAGTCTGCAGCCAGCCCATCAAATAAAGTGCAGATTGAATTATAATAATATAGTAGGAGATCACTTTATTTGATGGGTTGAATCCGGACTAAGTAAGCGACGCTTCTGGAATCATGGTTGTAGTCCCACCGATTTCATTTTGAACTAAGTGCATCTAATGTAGTCTGGATTTATACCGGTTTATATTTCGCTACCTTGTAGATCAGGGGGTGGGAAATCTCAGCCCTGAGGGCTGAATGCAGCACCGGATTTATGTATAAGCTAAACAAGCTATAGCTTAGGGCCCCACTCTCTTGGGGGCCCCAAAAAAAATTAAAGGGAAAAAAATAAGATAAAAAACAAATAAAATAAAACCTACATACAGTGGTGCCTCGCAAGACGAAATTAATTCGTTCTGCGAGTTTTTTCGTCTTGCGAGTTTTTTCGTCTTGCGAAGCACGGTTTCCCAAAGTCTTCAAAATCACCAAAGTCTTCAAAAACCTCAAAAAAGGCTACCACACTGCGTGCTATGAGTTGCTCCTCGAAGTCACCCTTCCTTAAGAAAAAGGAAACAAACTTGCAAGACGTTTTCGGTTTTTTCGTTTTTCGTCTTGCGAAGCAAGCCCATAGGGAAATTCGTCTTGCGAAGCAACTAAAAAAACTCTTTCCTCTTGCGAGTTTTTCGTCTTCCGAGGCATTCGTCTTGCGAGGTACCACTGTACAGTTAAAGCTTAATAATTATTTCGCTGTTAATACACTTCTTCTTAATTGTATTGCACTATTAATATACTTCTTAATTGTATTTCAGTTCAACAATTACTTTGATAAAATACATATTTTTTTATGTGCAAATGGCTTTCGATACCTGTTAGGTCCATAAATTACCATATAGCATATATTCAACACAAAAAAAACCAGTGACAATTTGTTGTTGACAAAGGACAGCTGAGCATATCTTGGGCCCCATTACCTTCAGTAGCTTAGGGCCGCATCAAACCTAAATCCGGCCCTGGATGAATGCAGCACCAAAGGCCATGTTATGTGGCCCTCAAGACCCCACCCCCAGGACCTCACCACCCTCTACCCCAGGCTGGAATGCCTCCTTGAACTGGAATCATGGCTCTTTTCCCTCCTAGAGGGATGTGAGAGTGCTCTGGTGCATGTGGAGAGTCCGCTGGCCTATGCGCAGCTGAAATATCACCTACTGTAGTCATGCTTAGGGTTGCCAAGTCGACAGCATCCCAGACCCTGAGACTTCAGGGCTCAAACCTAAGACTTAGGGGTGGAGCCTGATGATGTAATGGGTGGACCCTGGTGATGTCATTAAGCATGACACGTGAAGCATTATCTGCAGCGGCTGAGAGCACGTCATTCAAATAAAAAACCCACAAAGTCTCTTGCATGTTGCTGGTTGGAAATCAAGATGGAAACCTTTGCTAAAGCGGGAGCTCCCAGGTGCAGTTGGTTTGAGGGGACAATTCCTTCTCACATGTTTAGGGAGCCTGGATAGGGAATATCCCACGGAGGACCTTACGGTCTTCAAACAAAAACATATTTTTGGTCCCGGGCCACAGGGAGGTTAGGCTGGCCCCAACTAGAGCCAGGGCTTTTTCGGCTGTGGCTCTGATCTGGTGGAACGCTCTGTCACAAGAGGCATGGGGCCCTGCGGAACTTGACATCTTTCCGCAGGGCCTGTAAGACAGCCGTTCCACCAGGCCTTTGGTCAGGGCACAGCCTGACCCCCTCCTTTGGCAATCCTCACAGAACTCTAGCCCAATGGTTGCCATTAATCTGATTTGAATTAATGTTATAATGAAATGATTTTAGAATGTTGTATTTACTTTACTGTTGTTAGCTGCTCTGAGCCCTGCTTTGGCTGGGGAGGGCGAGATATAAATAAAATTTTATTATTATTAATATTCAGGATAGCCTACTGCAGCGGTTCCCAACCTGTGGGTCCCCAGACGTTGTTGAACTACAACTCCCATCATCCCTGAGCTCTGGCCTTGCTAGCTAGGGGTGATGGGAGTTGTAGTTCAACAACATCTGGGGACCTACAGGTTGAGAAAGGCTGGCCTACTGGCTTCAGAAGGGTTTCATTGCTCTCTGGCCAAGCACCTCCTGAGCAGAGGCAGATTTAGGGCTGTGCAACCGGTTCCCGCGCACTAGGCGCTGAGCCGAGGGGGACGCTGCAACTATGACACAGTGCATGTGCAGTATGGAAAGCAAAAGGGTGCTAGAATTTGGCCCTGCAAAGGGGCGCTGCTGAAATCTGAAAGACCCAAGTCTGACCCTCTCATGAGAAGGCTATTGTACGAAGAGGAGAGCCTAGGCTGGTGGTTTTCAATGAGGACATCCCTGGAGAGTTTGTGCTATAATTTGCAGGCAGTTCCTGCCAGGCTGAAGCTTGCAGGCTGCGTGCACAGTCTCTTTGATAAAATCTCTTTTATTAGAGGCACTCTTGCCCACCTGGAGATTCAAGCTCTCCCTCTGCCCCCCTGGAGGAGGTCAGGCAAACCGGGGGACTTCAGGTCAGCCCTGGAGGTCTGCCAATCCTAGCCTGCTGCACGAACCGCAGCTTCCAGGCAAGCCACAAGGGAAGATGGACACAGAGGGCCCTGCATCGATCCTACTTTGGCGCTGCCAACGGCGGTGGTCAAGCCGCGCACTTTTACGAACCTTGGCAAAATTCATCTGTTGGGATTCCCAGCGTTGAGCACGTTGGGGATATTGGCTGCAAGGGGGCTGCTCTCCCTAGTGAGGTGTAAGGGAGCGTTTGCTGGTAGGTGGCAGGATTAAAGTGTTATTCCTTGTAAGCCGTAATCTAAAAGAGCTCACTCTGACTCTCTCGGGCAACCCAGGGTCAGGCAGCTGAGGATCGTGGGAGGAGAATCAGGTCACTAGATATTATGAGGCAGGAGCAAAGGAGTGCTGTTCCTGGCAGAGAGCAGAGGAGTTAGCAGCTAAATTGCAGGAAATGTGCAAATGTTTGCGAGTGTGTGTGTGTGTGTGTGTGTGTGTGTTCATTTTCTCTAATTAATTTCAATACTGCCCTCCTTAATGAATGGTAGCAGGGCAGCTGACTCACAGAAAACCGGTATGAAATGTACAATGCTCCTAACACTTCTATGCTTTTTTCCCTGATGCACGTTTGACTGACAGACTCTTGGTAGAGAAAACTGTTATTTTCATAAATACATTGGAGGGTGAGATGCACTTTGTTTTGAAGGGCTTCTGCTCGGATTGTGATTCTCCCACCTGGAAGGCTGAGCGGAAACAAGCCAACAAAAACCCCTTTGTTGAAATGTGGCTCTTATCTCGTGGAAAATGCTAAACGAATTAAAACCCTGCGCCCCGGCAATTTTATTTGAGAGCCAACAAAAACAAAAAGAGGATTTCTGACCCCAGCCGAAATCACGTTCATTTGCATAATTTATCCTGTTTGCATAATTTATTCTCCATTTTATTTTACAAGTTGCATAATTTATGATCAGTGGCGTAGCGGTAAATT